CAGACGTGTGCTCTTCCGATCTCCCCAAAACCCCAAAACCCCAAAACCCCTTCATTCAAAATAATATCCAATTAAGTAATATGTTAAGAGTTTAATCTAAATAAAGAGAATATATAATTATAGGTCTTATATAAATGAGTAAAAATTCTAAATTTGGAATTAATTTTCAATAGCCATTTACCTTCAAAATAATGTATCATAAATTATACTTGATTCTGCTCTTAATTGCATTCAACATTGAAGATTTCGCAAAATGTGAGCAAGAATCTTTTAATTGGGCTAAGGAAAAAATTGATGGTTTCCTAAATGAAAGAAGTTTAGCAACAAGCATGACTACTTCATTTTCTTGCAAAAATGATTGTATCGATAAGGGATTGATATTTTGCCCAACGGTTGATAGAAAATCAGGTTACTGTTGTACGGATTCTGAGCCATGTACGAGACCAAGCGGAGATGTTTGTTCAGATTCTATGTCATTATCGAATGAATATAAGTATTTCACTTGTATTCAACATGCAAACTGCACAGCTGGAGGGTTCAAAATTACTCCCGACTTGGACCCAAATGCCTATAAAACTTTAACTTTCCAAAATGATATACCTACAGGCAATATTTGTCCTTATCTAATTTCCTTTCCATCAGGCTCTTAAACTGGAGACTTTATCACATTCTAGTTAAATAAGAATACAGGAGTAAAGGTTTATTATATCATTGCAGATTCATATACAAGTATAAATGCAAAGAATGGTGAGGCTTCAAAAGGCTAAAAACTAATAATAGAATAAGGAAAGAAAGCTTATATATCTGTATTCTCTACGACTGTCTTTACTACTGATTTTCATGCCTATGTCTGGGGTACTAAAGCAGCAGCGACAACTACCACTACAACTACTACTACCACTAAAACAACAACTACTACAACTACAAAACCTACTACTACGACCACAACAACAACTACAACCACCAAAGCTCCAACTACTACTACGACTACAACTACAACTACAAAAGCTCCAACTACTACAACTACTAAGGCTCCAACAACTGCGACAACCACTAAATATACTGGAACATCAACAACTCCAGCTCCTACAACAACCACTTAAATCACTTAAACAACAACTACGATTCCTACAGCTCCAGGTGAACCTACTACAAAAGGACCTGAAATCTAAAACCCTGTTGTCGATAACCCTAAAAATGTATAAGTTTCAGAAAGCTCAAGTAATGGTATGATCATTGGCATTGGTGTGGCTGTACCTGTTGTTGCATTGATTATTACAGCTGGAGTTCTCATCTGGTGGTGCAAACATAAAAATTTAAAACGAAAGGTAGTTACTATTGATGAGTATGACGATAAATCTTCTAATTAAAAGTAGTCAATGCTTCAAAGTGAAATTAATGTTAGTGCTGAGAATGACAAGTCGTAGGGGCCAGGCAGTCCTAATTTGAATGATGAAAAATCTTAAAAAGAAGACTCCAGATAGCCACCTTTAAAAAGCTAGGATACCCATTTTGAAACAGATTTGAACAAAGCTCAAGCCTAAGCTCTTTTATAAAACCAAAACTAGAATAACATTTATCACTAAACAAGGGCAGATCTATCATAGATATCAAACAACAATGGCTAACCATCTCCTCCTTAATCCCTTAATCCCTATCCATAACTTCAAAATTACAACTAATATGCGTAGAATTTACCTCCATAGCCTATTCAATAATAGCCAGATCCTAATAATAGATACAATGGACTACTCCCAGACATAAACTAGTATAATCAACAAATGCAGTAGTATATCTAAGCAATGCAATAGATGTAACTCCCAGGCATAGGATAACCTAATGTCAGCAATTTCAATGGACTTCCTGCATATGGCTAGCCAGTTCTATATAATAATAGCAATTTACCTCCTGTAAACTAATAATAGTAGCAAGTACAATAGCAATAGAAAATGCCACTGAATTACGAGTATGTAGATGATCCTCAAAATAGATTATACTTTAATGCGGAAATGAACTTCAACTAGGCATAGCAAGAGCATAGAGATGCTTCTAATGCCTCCTAAATTGGCCTGACATCAAATTTCCCGAATCCAGATGATATTGAAGAAATTTAAGCATACAACAGTAATGACTTTAATAATGGTTAGAGAGGGAAAGCTGAAGGTGAAAAAATAGCTAAGAACAACTTCCTTGCCTCTGAAGAAGAAAAGTTTTAAAAACCAAAGAAAAAGAAGACAGATGTAGAGCTAATAGATCAGAATAGACCCTAAACTTAGGAACAAAAAATAAATTAAAATAACAGAGATATAGTTGAAGCCTCACAGTAAATGCTATTTACTGGCATGCCTTAGCCGAAAAACAATCTTTTAGGCGATTAAGAAATTAGATTTAGTCCACCTAAGTTCAATAATTTATAATCTGAAGAAAATCCTGATTTAACTGCGGAGCAAGCTGAAGTTATTCAAAATACTGTAGCCAAAAAGAAGAAAAAGAAGAAGAAGAAGGGAGCCAATAAAACTATTGTCGATCCTAGCAATAAGCTTTCAGATTTACCGGAGATGTAGCAAAGAAGAGGAAATCTAGTAGATGGCTTACCCAATACAACTTCCTAAGATAGATTGGAGGATCCATCAGAAGATGAAGCTCAATTTATTTGAAATCTCAAGTGTCAAACTCAAACAAGCAAATAGATCGTACTAAAAAAAGAACAGCATAACTCTTAATAAAATAATATTAACTGAATTAATTAATCATAAAATTTTCAAATTTTACAATTTTTACTTTTTATTTATCATTTCTTATGGGGTTTTGGGGTTTTGGGGAGATCGGAAGAGCACACG